ATATGTTTTAATGTTAAATGCTCCAAACCACTGTAATGAGAGTGCATTATAAACATTGCACTATTTGGCCTGGGCTTCACTTAAGCTAACTTGTACATGTGAAGACTATATTGGACTTGCATTTTCAGTTTAATTAAAGAATTTCAGTAAACTTGATCTCACCCTTAATGTGGTTCTCATTTCCCAGCGTGATGTCAAATTGAATTTGACACCCTTAGCGAATGAATTAACTAAGGAATCATTTCAGGTGGAAATTTTATGAGTACAACTGGAGTAGAAAAAAACAAACAACTTTTTAACTTAGTAAATAGATCGTATTGTCCCTTGTGGCCTTCATTATCTATTTTAACTTTATACTTTAGACCATGTGATCGTGTTCTATGTGGGATAAGCTAGGGATTACAAAGTGTTAGCACAGCATTCTCTGTATTAGTACTCTTGAAATTACCTTGAACTTGTCATGTTTTCTTAAATTCTTCTAAAAGTAGAGGCTGTTTGTTCTGTAATTGGGGTTACTATTTAAGCCACTGCTTTGCTTAATTTGTAAATCACGAGATGGTAAATGAGCTTTCACCTTGCTGCTGCGAGTGCCTCTATTGTTGTCCAAACCCATTATCATCCACGGTGAGTGTCTGGGTTACAGTCAGGCTCCAGGCTACTGGATAAAAGCTCAGTGACGCCAGCTTTCATGCTGATGTGATAATTGCAGGGTTGAACTGCTAAATTACAGCCACCGAAGAGACCTCCCTTTATCATCCCCAAACCACCTCAATTAAGTCTACTGGATGTGACAGTCTCTACATGTTTGTCTAAACAGGGAAAGAAGTTGTAGTGAAATGTAGTGTTTTGTAGGAAAGGAGGATGGAGGGAAGGGAAAGGAAGGGGGTGGTGGTTAAGCTGTGTGCATGGGAGTGTTAGCAGGACTGAATGGAGCTGTTGGTTTTTCTTGGTCACCATGGTAACTGCAATATGAAAGATGGTTAGAAGGTTTGTGTAATATCTGTTTATTGGAACAAAATGGATGAGTGTTATGCCAGCTGTGCATTCTCCCATCAGTTTTGTTGAGAATGTGTATGATCCTCTGTTTGTTCGTGTGTGTGCGTGTGTTGTTCCAGTACAACGAGCTCTTCATCATTGACACCTGTCAAGGCGCCTCCATGTATGAAAGATTTTACTCTCCAAACATCATGGCTTTGGCCAGCAGTCAAGTTGGAGAAGACTCCCTGTCGGTGAGTTATCTTCCTCACGTGGAAGATGAATTAAAAAATCATCCATCAGCTTGTCAGATTCTCTAATAAGCAGTGTGATTTCATAGCACATTGCACTAGCTTGATTTCTGTGTTCATACGCTCTCACCCCCCTGCAACACCAGTCCAGTGTTACTTGAATAGTGTTGCACTTTTGAATTTTATTCAAATGTCTTCTTCTTTTAGCATTCAAACTAAGAAAAGTCTGCAAGAAATGTGACATGTTACAAGTTCTTCATCTCACTAATAATTATCAGAAACTACTAGCTCTGCACTGCACTCAAATACAAGAACAATGCTGCTTCTTTTCCCCCCTCTTCTTCCACATTTTACACAACACTGACCTTTTGCTTGAGACGTATAGCTTAAAGTGCAAATCCTCCACTGCATAATTAGTTAGAAAATCCTGAAAAGTCTTCAAGAGGCAGTGAGGCAGGAAGCTGAGGGGGAAACTTGCTCACTCTTTCTCTGCTTTGCACTGTTGATGGACCAATCTAAAACTGTGCTCAGTTGTGCGTTGTGTGTGTGTGTGTGTGTGTGTGTGTGTGTGTAAGTTACAGAACCACTGTAAAAACACTGAAATGGCCAAATAGGGGATTAGCAGAATATAACATAAACACTTATGAATAATGAGTCTTTTAATATCTAAAAATAAGCATTTTTCAAGGAAAGGGACTGTGATGAGGGGACATTTAAAAATATCAATTTTATGACATTAAATAGTGCCAAACTACATTTTATGTATGACCAACTGTTTTTAATGTTTACACTACTTTCGAAAAATACAATAAATACGAAGTTAAGACCAAACAAACAAACAACCAAAGAAGACCTTATTTATTTGCTGAACAGAACGTATTTACTGACATGGTTTATTTGGCTATAAATATTGTTTTTGGACTGTTCTAGAGAGCCTTCTGATTATAAAAGCCTTTTAGCTTCCTTCCCTGCTCCAAATTTCTTCAGCTTGGCTCTGCTTTTCTAACAAACATATCGTTGCTCTATGGACTGTTTAAAATAGTCTGAGCTTTTTATTTACAGGATTTGCTTGTACATTCAGCCCCTAATTTTAAAAAAAAACTTTGGCCATTTTAATATTGGCACGCACCACTGTAACAACATGTACATCACGGAAGAAGGAAAGCATCGTAAGTCTCCTTTGAGCAAGAATGAGGCAACGTAGGATTTTGAAATTAATACTGTAGGCCTCACTGTAGGTAGGTATCGCGGCTGATACTAAAGTTCAAATCTCAGTGACGTTGACCGTAGGATTAGAAGCCGTACATCACGTTTTCTGTGAATCTTGTGAAAGCAATAACTCAAGAAGGAGTTCACTAGGATTTTTAAATGGGCTTTAAAAATCTTAGACGAGTTCAAATCTCAGTCACCTTGACCTTAAGGTCAGAGGTCAAGTTTTCTGAAACTCTTGTGAATGCAAAACTCAAGAATGGTGTAGGATTTTGAAATTGATATCATAGGTGTATCTACTACGATGCTGACGGGTGGCACTGGCAGGCACTATTATTTTTACATTATCAGCTAATGACTTCAAATTGTCAGCTGTACATAGCTAATACTATGCAAGCTTTCAAAGCAGCTATAATTGCTTATATCACAGCGTTTTTAAATTTAAAATATCAAATGACTGAACAAAAATATGAAACTAATATTTAATTTCATGATGAACTGAACCTAAAGATAAAGATGTATTTACAGCCTTGGATTGTGTGAGGGATATTTACCTGATTCAGTGTTTAGCTTTGTGCTCCACAACGTTATTGATCTGCTTCACTTTTTCTGCTCTTATAGCAGCGTTTTGTCCAAAGCACTGCTTCCAGTGGAAAAGCTTAAACAAACACACTCCTCTACCTGCTCCACACTGAAGAGCATACAGAGTAAGACACTAGTCTGTAAACATATCGGAGAATCAAGAATATGAGAACCGGATATTTCCTTAGGAGCCGTTAGAGACCACAGTGGAGCTTAAAAAAGCGTGAATATTGGATTTAAACAGGGGTGATATGTCAGTGCTGTTTGCATTTTCCATTTTCACACCCCCAGGGGGTTGAAAACTCTTACTTCCTCCGTTATTGGAGATGGATTAATGGATGGATAGACAAAGCACTTAATTAATCCCAAGAGAAACTGCATTGTTACAGAAATTATCCATCCATTTTCTAAACTACTTTTCCGGTTTGTTTTATTCAGGGTCACAGGGGACTGGAGCCCATCTGAGCTGTCACAGTGCAACAGCAAACACCTCAACCCCCAATGTTTTAGTTGTATAACTAACAATTAAATTAAAGGCTAAACTAAATATACTCTAAAATATATAACAAATATAAATAAAGGAGAAAAAAAATGTCTGTCTGCAATACAGCAGAAACTGAAACCTCTGTGTACTTTAAGATAATGAATATCACTCATGAAGCTATCCTGCTGCCACAAGTCTCTAATTCATTTCCTTTCACACACTGTGCTGTGACATCGTTGTTCAATTTCAATGCCAGGTGACACTTATCAGATTTTGATACTGTACAGATTTGCAACGGAAACTATAACTGACTAACTAAAGAAGAAGTTCCATAAATTGTTACTTGGGATGAATTTATAATACAAATCTGTGAATGTGGTGTGGATGTGTATTTTAAAAGACTGTAAGTGTTCATTGTGTAAAAGTGTAGAGGTTTGATTAATGAGCTAGAAGTAAAAATGCCACCACAGCGCCCATTCTAGCAACTATTCTTATCCTTTACATTTTTAAAATCTGTCTCATTCTAGCACCAGCCAGATTTGGCCATAGGAGTCCATTTGATGGATCGTTACACGTTCTACATGCTGGAGTTCCTTGAAGACATCCATCCTGCAAGCAAAACCAACATGAATGATCTGGTGAGCCTGTGTTAGCGTGTGTGTCCAGTATGTCACAACTTCCTCATACCTGTTTGCAGGAAATCGCAATTTCCTGAACCACAAAATAAAATTCTTGTTATACTCTTTAAAATACGTTAGGGGTGTTAATGCAAATTTAAGTTTACAGTTGTGCTACTTCTACTTGAGTGACAGAAAGGAAGAGATTTTCTCTGGTGTCTCACATTTTGAACACCATCGTTTATTTGTTATACATTCATTTGTAGTTACTGCAACAGAACATAACAAAAAAGGTATGCAGATTTTTATTAGATTGACTATTTTGAAAGTCAGCTTTTAAAAGGAAGGATGTGGCAATCAGCACTGCTGATACCTGAAGCAGTGTTTTTCTTGTACTGTCCTCTTCCTCTGTCTGTGGGCCAAAAGAAGTCAGATAAAAGTCACACAGGTCACACTTGAAACAGAATATCTGATACGGTGTTGCAGTCGTTGGCCTTTGACACATCAGGGTGGAAATGGTGAGTACATGTTGCTCTGGTCCATGACTCAGTCTCAGCAGCAACTCCTTTTTCATCTTTTAGCCTCGTGCGGCGATTCAGGCCACAAGGGCCACTCCTCATCTGCGTCACCCGGAGTTATGCTCAAAGCACCCTCAGATCGTTACTCTGGCACTCTGTGTGTTTTGACACATGCTTATTTTTTTTCTTCCAATTTTTCTGTTCTGTAGATTCTCTGTTGTGCCTTTTCAGGGAATTAAGGATCAATACTATGGATTTCTGGATGAGCCCTCTGAGTTTTCGTTCTTGTTTTTTTCCCCCCCCTGATCCAAGCTGCAAAGTCGTGCCATTTGCTGTACTTTTCAAGTCCTGTCTGGCTGAGGAAATAATGTTGACCTCAGTTATGTGATTTTTATATTCTTTTCAAGCGGAAAACAACACATTGATAAACTCACATAGGATTCATTCACAAGTGGTAACAAACAAGTGTGCTAAAAATTGTAATTGGCAAGGGACATGCACAATGTCAGGCACAGTGCCTCTAATCTGTTTCTCACGGCTGTCACACCTCCCAGAGCAACAGCTCAATACTAGCTGCAACTGGAACTTGGAATTGGTGGTGCAAAAAGGAATAAATCTAGTATTGTTCTTTGTGCAGAGCTGACCTGTACATGCAAGTTATGCTGCTGCTAAAGCTGTCATTGTCATGAGGCGAATATTTATATTTAGAGGACATTGTTAGTGTTTTTGTTCTATATAGTTTGAATAAACAGATATCTTCATATACATATTCCAGAATCTGCATGCATAGGACACTGGGACACAAAGCTGGTGGTTTCCATCTGCAGCCTGCTTGTATCCAGAGTGCCATCAACCAATTAGGAATTGTGTTATCTGTTGTCCAGAAAATTGTCGGTTTCCCTCAGCAACTGTCAGTGGACTAGCTGACTGGCTCCCAAATAGAGATCCAACGTGACAGAAACCACTAATTAGAACAATGTTGAATATTCCTAATGTGAAATCTTTGCTGTCTCTGCCTCCACAGTTCAAAGTGTGTCCAAAGAGTCAGTGTGTGTCCACTCCAGGCCATCGTACTGACCTGTCCTGAGAGATCCTGGGAAGTGTTCTCATCACAGATTCTTTGGTAGTGTCCGCAAAGTTGAGCTCACCATGGAATGCCATCAACTTGACTGACCCATCAAGCAGATGAGGAGGAGTAAGTTTAATTATTTTGTTTTTGTTAATGGCAAAAGGTATGCATCAATCAAACTAGAATAAAAACAGGATGGCAACCTGCTAGAAAACTAAAAATCAGTGGGTGCCTGGTGATTAACTTTGCATTTGGCAAAAAAGTAGCAGAGGTCTAGAATGCAACACACTCACCTTTTGGTCTATGAGGTTCTGGCTGGGCAATTAATTAAAGTAATCTGTTAAGTAGTATAAGTTAATGTGACTTTGAATATGTAAATGGATACAGATTTGCGATTTCTTTCAGCTATTTATGGTAGTTAATCACTGTATTACTGACTGCATCTAATTTCCAACTTATTGCCGTTTTATCACCTTCTTGATGGACCGAGGTTGAGTGGTTGCAGACCTTGTCCCCCCTCTTTGAAACAATCATTTCAAAGGCAATGCACTGCGAGTTCATTGCATGCAATTGCATTATTTTGGCACCACTGTTTCCCAAATGTGACTGTAGCATTAAAGATACTTGTGCAAAAATAAGTTGTTCACAAATTGTTTCCAGCTTTCAAAATGAACTAAAGGTAACAACAGAAAGGGAGATTAAAGGTAGATATTAAAGGGATATGAAATGAAGTTGACATGGGCTGGGCTGTACTTTCATGATGACATGAGGGGGGGCGACCCTTATAAAATACTCTCATTTAGGCCAGCCTCACTGCCAGCAGCCAAATTCATTTTGTGTTCAGTTTCCAACTAACCAGCCTTTGATTTCTGTTTAGTACACTCCCATCAGTGATATTGATTCCTCTGCTAATGATGTGTTGATTGGCCTGTTTCTGGAAGATTAAAGCACTCAGTGGCTGTCACTATGACTACCATGTGGTGGTTTAAGACCTGATTGTAAGTTGACCAATGACATGTTTGTCTTGGGTAATGGTGCTGCTCATTTAGAACGCATTTTACTGCTTTTATAATCAATAATGACACTGAAAACATTATTTCAGAGAGAAGCGGAGCTCATAATTGGGCATCTTCATTGTCAGCCTTCAGACTTAATCCACTCTGTCTTCATAAGTGGCAGTGAGTAATGAGCAGTGTTTGCTTTAGATGATCTGTGGCGCTACCCTGTGGTGAATTGCACATATCCAAATTGGTGCATGCTTACATTTGTGATAAATAGGTTGAGCCACTAGATGGCTGTAGAGAGCTGTCAAACCTTTTCTCTGTGCCTCACGATGTATTGTTTGCTTTATCACAAGCTCCACTAATGCCATAATAAGCACAATCATCAGGAGTTTTAGGAAGCACACAGCTATTGCAAACAGTTTCCATACACTGATTCTCTAAGCTGCAGGAACAGATGTTTACTGTGTTCAACCTAAAATGCAATGGAATTTAACTTTATTATGATAATACCACCACTCCCCCAACCCTTTGTATTAATTTCATTAACTGGGTTTTAATTGAACCACTGGGAAGTATTAAAGAATCTAATTGGTTGGCTGCTAATTAGTAATTAGAGGCAATTACAATACTGATTTAGTCATTGGCTGTTTGTGGCCCGCGCAAGTTACTCATTGCACACAACTTCCCCTATTACTTTAATATCGATTACAGCCAGCACATTAGTCCTGCTGATCCTCATGCAGCACAGAAACACCAACACAATGTTATTGAGCTAGCTGTTGCCTAATTCAGTCCTAGAGAGAGACGTTTATCTCCATTTCTGATGTAAGAACCAGCAATCACCCGATCCATTTGAAGTTTAACAGCACTAAGTTTACTGATTCACCAAAGTGCTTGCCAGTGTCTTTGTACTTTGTTGATGTTGGAAGACTAACAACATTTATTGTCATTTTGTACGCCCTCTCAGGGTGTTTCCTCAGCCACATTCGGACTTGACTGATAATGCGTGACAGGAAGCTTTCTGTGCTTCTTTGGGTCTGGACAGCATTGTAGCAGTGGGGAGATTACAATACAAGCATGTGGAAAATATAGCCATGACCTCATTACTGCAATAATTTAAATTAATGTAGTCATCAGCGTTGGCATTAATAAATAATTATTCATAATTTAACGTGTGAAGATGTTTAAAACCTATTAAGGGTCTTGTGAATGGAAGGGTTCAACGTGTTTGCAAGGTTTTTACCAGTGTAAATATTACATGTAATGAATTAGACTATTCAAAGGCTGATTATCCATAACTGGCCATGAAAATAAGAGTTAAAAAAGCAATTTTTGACAGTTTTGCAAAGTCTTAGCACTCGATATGTTCTGTTTTTTTTTTCTTTCTTGTTTTTTGATTAAATGTTAGAAGGTGTGTGTCAGGAAAGAAAAGGTTTCATTTAACACAAAAAATATATATTTGCAGGGCTAATGAATTTCAGGAATAGAGAGCCCAGATTATGCAGAGATGCCTATTTAAAATGCAAAGTGTCTCTCTATACTTGAATCAAAGAAAGATGAGCAAGAGTGCCAAACAATAAGGCAGTTGAGGCTGTAATTATTAGTGTGGTGGTGGTGGGGGGGCATCACAGGTTTGCTCTGGGTTTTATTAACATCACTTACCTCAGTTGATTGATTTTGTTGTTTGAAAAAGAAAAGCGATTCTTTAGACTGTTTTGCTATTTTTATAGAAGAAAATACATTTTTATGGTTTTCACATTTGAAAAGCGAGAGCTGAAACCAGCTTATCTTTGTACTGTGGTAAGCCCTTTTCACACATGAATTTTGGACAGGTTTGGGAGAAACGGGTCGGGATATTTTCCACAGTTGTCCTTTGTCACGTGTAGCAAACAGCAAGCAATAGTCCTCTTCAAATGTGTTTGCACTTCTGAAAATACTCTTTGCAGTTCAGGTGAGGGAGCTATGTGGATAGAGCATGCAGGAGGCACCAGACTATTACCTGCACAATGGTGCAATCGAATATCATGCAGCCTTTGTACAAGGGAGACCAGCTGATGTCCAAACCTGCTGTATCTGATACATGTCTGTGCTGGCGCATGGTTGAAAACAGTGATGAATGCCTGAAATAAAAAATAAGGAAAAAAATGTAGTATATTCAGTTAGTGTTGATCTCTAATTGATCTTTATTTACAACCATATTTAAAGTAACCATGCTGCATGCTTTAAGATATTAAATCCCATGAATTGGCACTCCCCTGAGAAACCAACCTTCACCCTTTTGCCACACTTCTGGATCATCTCAAAAAGCAATCACTAAATCGATGTCAGAAACTGGATCTTTATGAAACCTTTGTCCAGATGTCGTTGCGAAAGTTAGAAAATTGTGTTTCATAAGACCTGAAAATGGGTTGTAGTGAGCTCAGTGTGTTCCCACAGAGAGAAGATCACAGATGTCCTCGAAACAAGCTGTTATTAAATATAGTGCTGCTTTAATCCACTTTTGTCAGCTTGTTCTGCCTCTCAGACAAGTGGAGGAGGACATTTAGAGAAGATGTGTACATGTGTGCGAGTGTACACATGTGCCTGTCTCATTTCTAGCTCGCATTCGCCTCTCTCACTTCCATATCCTGTCGTACATTCTAAACATCAATTTCTTCCTCAGAACAAGCCCCTTACATTAAGTGAATGGCACTTGATGGTGAAGACGTTTAATGGACCCTCTCGATCCGCAACGTTATACATAAGCTTAACACTGTAATGACATTGTGTAGTTCCTCACTCTCAGCCATCGGTGGTTGTTGACGTTAACACGTCCTCCTCTGGGCTACACGAGCTCCCAGAGTAATTACAACTATCAAATTAAGCTGAATTCATATCCCATTGAGTATAAATATATTAATGTAATTTGTGACCTGCAGGACTGGATTGTGTCTGCAAAAACTGTTTGAGCTGCTGGCAGAGTTAAAAAAAAAAGGAAATTTGTTTAACCTAAAGACTGCAGCTGGAGACGGCATTGATATCAGAACTAGAGAGGGGGGGATGAATTTAGGCACATCCCTTTTAATAAGCAGAGAGGATTATAATGCCTCTCCAAAAAGTCTTTGTGGAAAATAAAGTAGAAGTAGTTTGAATTGAATTAGAGCTCATTTCTAATGTTGAGGAAAAAAAGGGTGGAAGATCCCAGCGGTGACACATCTGTGTTTTCAGTGACATGTTTCTTGTGGCAGAGAAGCTTGGCACGCACCGAAGGCTCAGCAGGAAGTTGGTTCCCTGCTTACCAGTCCATACGCTTTACTACTATCTGTTTTGTGTGAACACTTCTTCTCTCTCACACGCGAGAAGGACTGTGTGTCTGTGTCAGTGTGACATGAAATGGCCAGAGAGAAAAATGATGGGTAAAGTAACTTTGAGTGAAGAAAGACACAATAGAAGAACAGGTTTCAATCATCAAGTGGCTGGAGGTGTGTCATGATGGCTCACAGGGGAGATGTGGCTCACTTTGTCTGACCTAAATTTTGCTGAAGACGGTCAGTCCTGAACCTCCACTTGACGGTAAACCTTAGCTCTGACCCCCGTTTGACTTTGTGTCAGAATTTTTTATTTTAGGCTTGTTGTAACTTTCAAGGTTGCTGTCTCCGGACATCGGTGACTGTCAGTTGATGTACTCATGGATTTATTCAGACAAACCCCTAACAGAGCTACTTTACAGGTGCATTTGTGTCATATGTACATTTAAATAATGACTGTGTGTTTATGGTGTATGGTGCTGTAGTTTGTGAGGGCGCTGCCTTTGCCCTTTAAACACAGTTTGATCAACTGCTCTTCATGTTGTTGGACTAAAATAATTTATTGTGACTGTAGAAACATTGTGGCCATTCTCGACTTATCCTCTTGCAGATATCTAGTGATTTGTGACATTTGCAAAGTATGGGCTTAAACGTTTGTCCTTCGAGCAACCTGATTTAGGCTGATTCTTTCAGAATGATGGATACCTTATTCTGAATACTAAAGGCG